TAAAAATTAGCTGGGCATGGTGGCGGGCACCTGTAATTCCAGCTACCCAGGAGGCTGAGGCAAAGAACTGCTTGAACCCGGGAGGTGGAGGTTGCAGTGAGCCGAGATCACACCACTGCACTCCAGCCTGGGTGACAGGGCAAAGCTCTGTCTCAAAAAAAAAAGGTTGCAGAGCTGAAATCCTGTAGCCCAGCCCTTCATCGGGGTGAGCTTTCCTCTCCACATTCCAGCCAGATGGCCCACGGGGGAGGTGGAGGAGGAAGAGGGTGCAGTCATCACCCCAGCCCTCTCTTGTGGGGGCTTCCCCCATCTCATTTCCCTGCTTGCCTTGGCACAGCCCTTAAAGGTTTCAAAGGAGAAGCCAGGTGAATAGAAACACACTGCTCAGGCCCCACCGCAAAGCATGCTAACAAATGATGGGTGGGCTGAGGCACGCCACTTCCTGGAGCATCCTAGGGACGGAGCCACAGCCTGGGCAATGCTGGGGTAGCGAGGCAGCCAAGCGTGGAGGTGGGCCTGAGGCCAAGCCTGGGAGTCGGGGATTTAGTTTTCCATGCATTTGTGTGGGCTGTGATTGCACACAGCGCAAGCTTGGTCCATCCTCCATGTCTCCAACCCCAAGGCACCTACATGCAGATCCTGGGTAGGAGGATTGAGGCAAGCCCCTCTCCCTATGGAGGAGACTTTCTGTGGCTTGGCCCCTGCCCCCAGGACATGAGGCAGGCCTGGCCCACTTCTCCGGGGTCCCGGGCCACAGAGGCCCTTACGACTTCTTTGCCAAGTCTCTACAGTCTTCATCGTCATTATCGCCACCATTGATTAAGCTTTACTGTGTGCCCAGCAGCTGTGTTCATTTTCCCTAACCTTCATAATAGTGCACAGGATGGGCATTGCTACCCCCATGACATAGGTCTCTGGCTACAGGAATGACCCATTATATTCTGGGGCCACTCCCTTCTCCGCCTGAGTTACACTTATTCAAAGAGAAATAAGCTCTGTTAAGACACAGTTCTGCAGGGGAACTGACTGCTTCCCTGCATTTATCTGCTCTGGGCACAGTAATTTTCACGGCAGTCAGGCAGGGTCTGTTCGGTTCAGATACTTATCTATAACAACAAGTAGAAATGTTCTTTCACTGGAGGCTTTAGAGACGGCCCAACAAATTAGTTGAGAACAACTGCAATCACAGGATGGAGGGAAAACTGTGAACATCTTCTCGTAGTCAGTTATATTATTTAACTACTATTCTTGCTGTCTCTTCCCTCCTTGCTGCTAGGCTGGGCTGACAGGTAGAAAGAGTGCAGCCCAGGGGCTGGATCACATACCCAAAAATGCATAGACCACTAAGAGGGGAGGGGCCGTACAGCAGTTCAACCTTAGAGGAAGGCTATTTGGCAATGAGCTTCCCAAACTTTAAAAATGTGCAAACCCTTTGAGAAAGAGAAAAACAGCCGCTAGCATCCTGGAGCTGACCTGGCACTCATGGCTGGGCCTAGGCCATAAACCATTTCACAAACCATCAGCACCAGACAGGCCACTCGGACTGCAGTGAATTAGAACAAAAACAAGTCCACTCCACAAATGTCTGCATCCGTATGGGACATCATCCAAACCACAATAAGGAGCAGCTCTCTCAGTCCTGGCTAATATGTATGAGCGACTGTTGCCTCCTTACCAGTTTCAGCTTTCTTTTACTCTAGTCCTCTCTTCTTCTAGGTCAGATTTATCAAGGCACCCAGTCTTAGAATTGCCTCCGTGTCTTGGCAGCATTCAATGCAGAGCAAAGCCCAGCTTCCTGAAACCCTTGCTGGAATCACTAACCCAAGTCCGAATCCCACGCCTGCAGCCTTCCAGAGACCCTCCAACTGAGAAGTTCAGGGCCTCCTCTGGCGTGTGCCCTGGCTCACTTTTGCAACAAGCAATAAACCCCACTTGCTCAACCACAGGTCCCAGTGGTCTCTGGCTGGAGTGCAGTGACATCCTTAACCCAGGTGACCCACTCTTAAAAATTTAGCCTAGAAGAGAATGTGGAGAAATAGGAACACTTTTACACTGTTGGTGGGAGTGTAAATTTGTTCAACCATTGTGGAAGACAGTGTGGCGATTCCTCAAAGATCTAGAAATAGAAACACCATTTGACCCAACAGTCCCATTACTGGGTATATATCCAAAGGATTAAAAATTGTTCTGTTATAAAGACACATGCACACGTATGTTTATTGCGACACTGTTTACAATAGCAAAGACTTGGAACTAACCCAAATGCCCATCAATGATAGGCTGGATAGAGAAAATGTAGCACATATACACCATGGAATACTATGCAGCCATAAAAAAGGATGAATTCATGTCATTTGCAGGGACATGGATGAATCTGGAAACCATCATTCTCAGCAAACTAACACAAGAACAGAAAACCAAACACCGCATGTTCTCACTCCATAGGTGGGTGTTGAACAGTGAGAACACGTGGACACAGGGATGGAAAAAGACACAATGGCATCTATTGGGGGGTGGAGGGCTAGGGGAAGGATAGCAGGGGGTGGGGAGACTGGGGAGGGATAACATTTGGAGAAATACCTAATGTAGAGGGCAAGGGGATGGAGGCAGCAAATCACCATGGCAAGTGTATACCTATGTAACAATCCTGCAAGATCTGCACATGTACCCCAGAAATTAAAAAAAACATTTAGCCTAAAGAATACTCGAGTTCATAAACATATGTAAGGATACTCCTGTGGCACGCACAATGATAGAAAAACATGGACACAATATAAATGCTCATCAGTACAGGGTGGGGGTTGGTTAAACACATTTTGGTACAATGGAATGCTACGCAGCCTTGAAAATGATGAAGAGCTATACTTATTGATATGAAAAGTTTACCATAACATGATGGTCACATTATAGTATTAGGTGAAAAAAAGTTTACAAAACTGTATGCAGGACCACCACAGACACTGCACAGGGTGGACTGGGTGACACTTGTATAAATACAAACAACAAATAAGATATTTTATAGATGGAGGAAAAGGCCATAAAATATACATACGAACATTAACAGTTTCTTGGTTTTTTTTACCTCCTTTCTAATTTTTTCACAATGGAAATGTTTTACTTAATGAGAAAGAAGTTTCCAAGAGATACAAGCAGGGCATTTCTGAGAACGGAGTCAAAGCCAGAATCCAGAGCAAGGGCAGGGCAGAGGTTTGGCCGAGAGAAGCGGGCACCTGGGTAGGGGCCCTAGAACATGCTGTGACCGGGAGGCTGGGCAAAGCAAAGGATGCTGGCAATGGGATGGAGGTAGTCTCCTTGCCCCAGCTTAGGGTGCTTAGCGGGTGAGGGTCTCAGTGGTACCAGAGGCAGGCTCTGATGGATGGATCTCGAAAGTGTAGCAGAAAGAAAACAAAGGATCTCAGGGCACAAAAGATGCCAGGCATCACCCCGCTGCCCCCTAGCACCCAGAGGTGGCTGCCAGGCAGCGCATGTGTGGTCCTCTCTCCTTGGAGCTGTCTGGCACAGCCGAACTTCATCCACCTCGTAAATCACAGAAAAGTCTCCCCACCCTGTCCCCTAAAAGCTGAGGCTACCTAAGGCCTACCCTGTTATGGATGTGGGTTGTCCTACTGAGAGGAGTATCCCAAAGCCACCATGCTGAGGCAGGAAGAGGGACAGCCCAGCTCTCGACCGTCAGGGGCTCTGGTCTGCCTTCCAGGTTTACAGCCCATACCACACATCCCATTGACACACACATGTACCCAAAGATATGTCTACATCCTAATCCCTCCTTCCTGCGAACGCAACCTTATTTGGAGATAGGGTCTCTGCCGATGTAACTCAGGATCTTGAGATAAGATCATCTTTGACTGGGGATGGCCTCATCCCATGCTGGCGTTCTTGTAAGAAAGGAGGGAAATCTCAGACACAGCAAGGAGGTCACGTGAAGACAGAGGCAGAGATTGGAGTGCTGCAGGTACACACCAAGGGATGCCCAGGAGAGCCAGCAGCCTCCAGTCACTGGGAGAGGCATGGGACAGACTCACAGAGCTTCTTGGGGGAACTAACCCCACAGACACTTTGATTTTGGACTTCTGGCTTCCAGAACTGAGAATAAACTTCTGCTGTTTGAAGTTGTCAATATTTGCAGTGATTTGTTAATGGCAGCCTTAGGAAATGATCACACCTTTCCAACCCCTTAACGCCCCCCATCCACCCACGCTTCAACCTGGGAGCCCTGAGCAAGTCAGCAGCAGTGACGCGATCTAAGCCAGGCACACTGCTATTTCCAAAGTGGCCTCATTACCTGCCACCCATTGGCAATTGCTCACCCTTTCCCCATTCTTTCTTTAGAGGGGAATGGAGGTTTTGGCATTGACCTTCAAACACTAAGAGACTGGACAGAAAGAGTGACAGCCTGTTACGTCCTTGATTGAATAACAGGAAATAGATTTGCTTCCTAAAGTCGAAGAGGCTTAGTAAAACTTGGCCGGGCGCAGTAGCTCACACCTGTAATTCCAGCACTTTGGTAGGCCAAGGTGGGCAGATCATGAGGTTAAGAGATTGAGACCATCCTGGTCAACATGGTGAAACCCCGTCTCTACTAAAACTATAAAAATTAGCTAGGCATGGTGGCTGGCACTGTACTCTCAGCTACTTGGGAGGCTGAGGCAGGAGAATCACTTAAACCCGGGAGGCAGAGGTTGCAGTGAGCTGAGATTGTGCCACTGTGCTTCAGCCTGGCAACAGAGCGAGACTCTACCCCCAAAAAACAAAACAAAACAAAATCTCAGCTAATCCAATGCATTCACTTAATTATTTAAGTAGCAAGTAAATATTTCTTATTAGCTTCATCTTACAAATGCAGTCACGATAACAAAGGAAGTGTTATTTAAGTCTGTGGACAAAGCAATGACAGAGAAGAGCACAAACCCAAATCTGATATTTGACAAAGGTGAGAAAAGACTCAACCCTTCCCAGAAAATAAATTAGAGCCACACTTATTGCCAAGATCCAAAGAAAAAAATTTATTTACAATAGAGAATTTTATTTGAAACATGCATTTCTTGTTTTTTTAAAAACAAATCAGCAAATGCAGATCAAGTTTACACTCCTTAAGGCAAGAGTCCCTATGCACGCTGTACATGTTCATATTAAATCCAAAAGCTGCTCACCCTGGGAACTCGTGTACCAACGGCAAGGCCAAGGTCAGCAATGTGTGTTCTATTAGAGAATCAGACAATCTCCCTGATACAGGAACTCTGAGGTCAACTTGCTATGAATTATACTAGGAAAATGCAAACCAATAGCAAGAAATTCTGATAGTCTCCTTAGTACTGCATACAATCAAATCAACTTTATTTAGAAAGGAAATACAGTAGTGCATACGAAAAAGTGAACACAGAACCTGTCCATGGAACTGGAGGAACAGCAGTGTGCTGACGGTCATATTGCACGCAACAGTTAAGTCCAAAACATTCGGTTCAGTTAGCTTTTCCCCATTTTGGCAATCAGTTCATCACAAATCTTGGTGAGTTCTTCTATTTCCTTATTCTGCAAGTGAAGACAAGAAAGAATTGCTGATGGTTGAAACCTGGCCAATCAGAATGGTCATGGGGCTCTGTGGGGAGATTGGGGTCCACCAGGCCCCTTGGTCCCCACTGACGTTATCTAAAACGGTGAGACAAATGACTTGGAGCCAAACAATCGGAGTATACATCCCAGCTCTAGCTGTGTGATCTCCCACAGGTTACACAACCTCTTTGAGCCTTGGTGTCCTTATCTCTAGAACGTAGATGATAACATGTTCCTAAGAAGTAAATGAGGCGATAAATGTAGTTCGCTGATAGTGACCAGCACAGAGTAAAGGACTAACTAGTCTGGTTCCTTTCCCTTTATTTGCCTGGGAAGCATGTGATCTCAGATGAGGAGGGTCTCGGGTAAACCCTTCGGGAGCACAGGGGAGTTAAGCAGTTCTGTGTGAGTGGGATCACTTGCATTGCTCAGAGGGATGTCAAATAGGTGGCGCTGTGGCCACCGGGTCATGACGAGGGGTGGGGGCAGATGTAGGTTGGCTTTAAGGTGGTCCTCCCACCACACCTTGCCTGTCTAATCAAGAGGAACCAACCACACGTTTGTCTATCACAGATGATCCTACACCGTCCATCCTTTCAAGAGAGTGAGGGGATCCGGCAGGGCGATGCCTCCATCACGGGCACTGTGGCTTTCCTCCCAGATCGGTAACATGCCGCCCTGATGCTGATCTGGTTCAACAGTGCAAACACTCTCCAGCGGCCTTCTCCAAGGGGGCTGGACCGCTCCAGCATACTGGGGCCGTTCTGCAGCCAGATTTTCCCTGGGGTTCCCGTGGAAGGTGAGTCTTCACCAAAAGCGGGTCCCTGAGGCTGTGCAGAGCCCTTCCCTGAAAACCTTGGAACTCCTGAGACATGTTCCAGCCCAGAGCCCTGTGCCCTCTGTTTGCAGGTTAGAACTCCTGCTGTTGCTCATCATTGTGCCAGTGCTGGGGAAGAAGTGGCTCTCCTCAGAGGAGGGGAAGTTCCAGTCCTCCCCAGCAGCAGTCCCCGCTGGGAGAGAAACCTGCCTTGAACATGACCCTGGCCCACCTCCTGCCTCAATTTGCATCTCTGAGGTCAACAGCTGCAGAGAGGCACTGAATCACCAGCTGGAAGATGGGGCTCTGAATAGCGTGCAGCACTGACCCCCAATCTTAAAATTACTATTAGTGGCCAGGCGCGGTGGCTTATGCCTATAATTCCAGCACTTTTGGAGGCCAAGGTGGGTGGATCATGTGGTCAGGAGTTCAAGAACAGCCTGGCCAACATAGTGAAACCCCGTCTGTACTAAAAATACAAAAAAATTATGGGCATGGTGGCACGCACTGATAATCCCAGCTACTTGGGAGGCTGATGCAGAGAACTGCTTGAACCCAGGAGGTGGAGGTTGTAGTGAGCCGAGATCGTACCACTGCACTCCAGCCTGGGTGACAGAGCAAGACTCCATCTCAAAATAAAAAAATAAAGAAATAAACATCACCAAACCCTGATGGAAATGGGGAACCATCTCAAACACATGCATTGCTACATTTCTCACCAAGAAACATTTTATGTTCAACTGCTACAATAGCCAAAATGACTATGAAGTATGGTTTTTATTTCTTTCCAGATGGGGTCTTGCTCTGTTGTCCAGGCTGCAATGCAGTTGGCTACTTACAGGCACAATCACAGCACACTGCAGCCTTGAACTTCTGGGCTCCAGCAGTCCTCCCACCTCAGCCTCCCATGTAGTTGGGACCACAGGAGCATGCCAACACACCCAGCTTCTAATGATTTTTGTTTTAATGGAACATTTCATTTTTCAAGTCACCAAATATGCCACACAGGGATTATCAACATACAACAAATAAAAAATGTACACTCTCCAGCACTTTGGGAGGCCAAGGCGGGTGGATCAGGAGGTCAGAAGTTCAAGACCAGCCTGGCCAAGATGTTGAAACTCCATCTCTACTAAAAATACAAAAATTAGCTGGGCATGGTGGCACGCGCCTGTAATCCTAGCTACTCAGGAGGCTGAGGCAGGATTGCTTGAACCCGGGGGGCAGAGGTTGCTGTGAGCTGAGATCACACCATTGCACTCCAGGCTGGGTGACAGAGTGAGACTCTGTCTCAAAAAGAAAAAAAA